CAATCTTAGTTGCGGGTGGGCATAGCCCACTATCCCATGCAGGAGTTGAACCGGCAACTTTGTTTTTAGGAGCACATACTCTCACCAGCTGAGCCACCCTGCCACCTATTGGCAGCTCAGTGGCAGCTCAGCTCTCTGGCCCATGTGGGAATTGAACCGGCGACCCTGTTGCTCAGAGCTCGCGCTCTTAACCTAAACTGAGCCACTCAGCCGGCCCTGCTTTGTCCATTTTTTAATTGGGTTATTTGATTTTTTATTGTTGAGTTGTAGAAGTTCCTAATATATTCTGAATATTAACTCCTTATCAGATATGTGATTTACAAATATTCTCCCCTATTCCATAGGTTTCCTTTTCACTCTTACTTCTTTTGTTGCACATAAATTTTTGAGTTTGATGTCCCATTTGTCTGTTTTTGCTTTTGTTGCTGACATTTTTGGTGTCATATCCAATAAATCATTGCCAAATCCAATACCCTGAAGCTTTTCCCCTATGTTTTATTCTAGGGGTTTTATAGTTTTAGGTCTTTAATCCATTTTCAGTTGATTTCTATATATGGTGGAAGGTAAGGGTCCAACTTCATTCTTTTGCATGTGGATACCTAGTTTTCCCAATACCATTTGTTGAAGAGACCGTCCTTTCCTCCATTGTGTAGTCTTGACACCCTTATGGAAAATCATTTAGCCATATAGGCAAAGGTTTATTTCTAGACTCTGTTCTTTTAATGACTTTTTAAGGGTTATAATTCTTCATATAGTCATATACTTTAGCAACTTATTAGATATTATAGTTAATCTTTGTTGAGGTATATATTTAAACTAGGGGTAGACAAGCTCTGTAAGCTAACATGAAGCAGTAGCATGCATAGTGTTTTTCAAGTGGAAATGTCCTCAAACTCATCTTTTCAGGGCCTTTTTTGGCCTGTGTTTTCTCTTTATGCTGCCACCATCTTCTATTGTTTAAGGTTCCTGGAATTCCACTTTGACATAGACACTAATATTTGTTTTAAGTGATAACATTGTTTTGAAACCAAAATAACAATTTATACATTAATTCTTTTTCATGTAGTTTGTTATCATATAAATATGA